GGTAATGCGAGAGGTTCCTACATAGGTCCGAATTTTGCTTAGACGGTCGCAAGAAAACCCGAGGTGGCTGCAGAAAGCTTCCCGCGTCACCCTGCTGTTGGGAGTTTGGAGGTTGTCGGCCCGGGCCCAGGAGACGGGGCCCGTTGCTTGGCAGCGTTCTGATCGGCCGCTCACGCTCACGCGCACGGACACAAACATCGAAGCTTCACGCGCGCAGAAATCCTCAGAGGTTTTCATGTCTCATCGAATGGCTCAACTTATTTCGAGGCCCAGATTAAGTAAATTATCATCATTGCTAACATAGCATACACAGCTTCAGATCATGTGCTACGCGGCAATGCGGCTGCCTTAGGCATGGCTTCTATACCCCAGCCCGTACTGATCTCAATATCTCTTAATGCAGAGTATTCTTCTCCTAATTTAGGAGCTTGGCGGCTGATCGTATGTGACGAACTACACCACTTTCTTCCCCGAATATTCTCCCGAACGACTACTCATAATCGTCCCGCTCGCATAGCACGTGTCTTCTTTCATCCACTACTCTTGCATACTCTAACAATAGCCGTAGCCAGTATAGCTCCATATCTGCCTTACGGAGAACTCGGCGGCTCCAGATCGCCGCGCCCTCGCCAATGGCTGCGGCATGCCTGTCATGATTCTCACAACTCTTCCCTCGACAACATCCGCCGATAAAGAAGCAGAGTTTGTGCCAAAGGTCGGGAAGACTGCCGAGGTCAAAGGGAACGAAATGTTTATACGGTACGAGCCGCGAGCGGTGCCATTCTTCGAAGATAGTGGCCTTCAACACTAGGGAGCCCGTCATGAGCAATGCGCGGAAACGAGCTATAACTGATGTTATGCCACATATCATCATTTGTGAGAACAAGAGTGCCTACCACTGTACGCGTTGCCATCAATGTCTGGTAAATATTTGTACGTGGCCATATCAGCCATGGATGTATGCGCTGCAGTTCGGAAGTGGTGATCAAGGTAGCTGCAGGCATCCCCGACGTCCCAGCCTCGCCCAGCGCAGCGCAGTTGTGTAAAGGCACCGTCCAGATGCTCGTCCAGCCATTCAGAGTGAGGTGGCTCGGGTGATGCTTGGTTCAGAGAAGCATTGGCCCAGTCGATCTGACCACTGCTAACAGCTTTGAGAAAAGTGGAGTTCATTGACGCAACAAAACGATGGCGATGAGACTTCATCCAGGTCAAGGAATTATGTCTGCCACCAGTATTGGAGCCACGCCAGATAGCCTGCAGAGACGAACATACGAAGTCAGTATATATCTCATATGCATCTGATACAGCCAAAACTTACCTTGTTATGCTTCTCTGACCACGCCACACCAATAGACGAGTTGACCAGATGTTCGGGGAGGGTAAAGCTTGGTATATCCACCCAGGTATGCAGGTCAGGGACCGTGATTTCGGCGCTCACGTGTCGTATGTGTGTTGCCGAGAAAATAGGAAGAAGGGTAGACGATGTCGACACAAGGTGAGGTGCCAGCATCGTGCCGTGGACAGCAGCCAACTCTGGTCGATTGCACACATCCTGAACAGCAGAATCCGAAAGCGGTACGTGATCGGTTGACGCGTTTCTCGGAGGGCAGACAATGCTGCGGAAAGAGTATGGAGGGATTTCTACGTGTAGTCCAAACTTTAGCTGGCGAAGCTTCGCATATGACGGTACCGCAGCTTACCTCGATTCCACCCTTTCACTACGTCTTCCGTTCTAGCATAAAGTGCTTTGCTGACCCCTCCATGAATATGACTTTGTGCGCCTGCTGAGCGAGACACTAATCGACTATGCTGGCGTGCCTGCTGTCGGGCTCTCTCCATGACGTCCCAAGGAACGAGCACACGAGGCGAGGCATGCACACTCACAGCTACGTCAATGTCTGGTAGCAACGGAGCGATTCGTCTGAGCAATCCCAGTTGATCGTCACAGGTCATGTCTTCTCTCGGGCAGTTGGCCCGGACTTCTCCACGTCGGAATGAGAAACCCTGGAGCCGTTCGATTTTCTTTTGAAGCCCGGCGAGAGAGACCAGCGAGGCCGCAGCAGTTTGCGTGGCCTGTGCTGTGATGCCCCAGAATGGCTCCAAGTCGTCATAGATTTGATCCCAGAATGGCTCAATTGATATCCCTTTCAACTGTTGGAGGCGCTCATGAAAGGCCCGGAAGCCTGGAGGTGGACATCGTGCGCGTCGGTGCCGATATGATTCTACCGCCTGTGCGTATGTGTGCGTTTCTTGAACCGCCAAAGACTGGAAGTAGTCCTCGGCATCGTTGATTGAACGCTCGAGAGGGTGCAACGGAGTACGCGTTCTTGGATACGTGATAGACACACTATATGTTGCAATCACAAGAAAAGCACACGCCAGAAGTCGGTAGTGTTGCATGGTCGTAGCGAGTACAGGCACGGTAAAATGTTCAGTGTGAAAAGAAGAACATTTAGATTCATTCTCATTCTTTTATTTCGAACCAAGTCGCCTTGTCCTCGACTCTTCCTTCGTCCACTAGAGCGGCCCGATCGTTCCCTGCTCTCTAACCTCTTCCAGCGCTGGAGCTGGTCCATGATCCTTGAACAGATAAACTTAGGTCTCACGCTTCTCCGATCCAGCGTCCGGCGCGGGAGCTGGTCCGTCATCCTTGAACAGATCGATGTAGGTGTCACGTTTCTCCGATCCAGCGTCTGGCGCGGGAGCTGGCCCATCGTCTTTGAACAGATCGATGTATGTGTCCCGCTTCTCCGACCCAGCGTCTGGCGCGGGAGCTGGCCCATCGTCTTTGAACAGATCGATATAGGTGTCACGCTTCCCCGAATTGGCCCTTTCAGAGCGTTTGTAGGCGCCACCACCCTCTTCCGGCGCGGGAGCTGGCCCGTCATCCTTGAACAGATCCACGTAGGTGTCGCGCTTCTTAACGTCCCTCAATTCTTCTGCATGAGCTTCGACACTTAGTAAGTTTACTTTCTTATCCGTGGGTCAGGGAAGGACATACGCGAAGCGGTCGCTGCTGACAAGCCAGCCAACGCGACGAGAAAAATCAAACTCTTGTGCATCTTGGAAAATGTGCGTAAACGAGAATATGATAATCGTTTATGAGGATCCGTCTTGGACAATACAAGGCGTTTGTAGGGCGAAAGATGATTATTCTGTGGGGTTTCTGCTCAGCTATTTGTACATCACTCTCCACTGGTAAAGACATCGATGATCGAACACTTACCTGGTGATAGAGCTGCTCTTCTGCATCGTGACGCGGCCCGTCGAACTTACGAAAGAGCTGACCGAGCAGCAACGCATATCTTGAAAGCTTAAAGAAGTGCCATGAACCTGTACTCACTACGCTGGTTTACCATGCGATGACTATCCCTACTTGATGGGTAGTTTGATAGTAGTCGGCCGAGCCGTGTCTCGATTGAACATGATTGAACATTGATTGTAAGGTTTGTCACTTGCATAGTGCATAGTGAGGCTACCGATAGGACGTATGGGAGAGTGAGCAGAATAATGACGTATCTCAAGCTTACCGCCGAACTGCATACTGAACCGGAACTGCCGTGTTGTGACTACCTAGGTACCCCCACTCATTCGTTGGGATCTGTCAAGGTGCCTTCTGACCGAATCGAATACTTCGAAAGTGAAGCTACCGTCTATGACGGAATTATACTGCATTCATTTGGTGGGCGCTAATCGCTCCTATACACTCAATGTAACTAGATAGACTGAAGCTCCGGCTAACCTGACGACACTTCAGACGGGTATACCAGCTTGGTTCGCCTCTCTTCCAGGCTAGCGTTGAGCATGAACATCTCACCGCAATGTCTGATATGTCCCTCATCCGATGCGGTCATATGCATCACGATGCCTGTGAATTGCTGTCGGAACTGCTTCCTCCACGAGAAGATGCAATGCACAACATGTTGCTCGTAGGTAAACCATATGGTCCTCCCGGGCTCGATCAGCATGGATAGCTCGGTCCCGTTGATGAGACGGTACTTGCCATCCATCTCCGTCTGGTATAGCCAGGCGCCCCCCTTGTCAGAACGAGAGGCTGTCGTGAACTCATGCGTGAGATCGAAGTCAATGCATTCCGGTCTCAACCAACATAACTCAATCTCATCGAACTGGCAGTTCCGCGAAATTCCCTCGGCAGTTGTGAATCCGCACAGGCATGGGGCGTCATCCCGTGTCAGCGTTTCGATCGCTTGGGCTCCGACCGTGTAAGCTCCGCATATAGCCAGGGTAGCAACGAGAACGGCAGCAACTGTTCGTAGGATGAGGTTCTTCCGTGGCTTGGATGTGTCCTTGCTGCTCTTTGGGTAGAGTGAGGTAAGGCCGATTCGCTCCTCTATGGTGCTTTCAGATTCGGCTTCCGCGCCCATGCTCGACTGTTGGAGAACAGTCATGAAGCGTTGGAACATTGATCCTGTATACTTATGATTAAGCTGAGTCCTGGCTCCGCATTCGTTCCATGTGGGTTGGTACCTTTCTTCCTGTTTTACGGGTTAAAAAGAGAGAAGTGGTATACTTCACGAGCGAGAAGAGTACGGGCGTGTACGTAAAGACTGCACAATAGTAGCGTGTCGCTCCGATGGTGATGTTATTATCTTCGGTCGATCTTCTTGTAGTTGGCTTCAGCTGACATAATATCCAGGAAACAACAAAGTTTGACTAGAAAACGCGCAGTCTTCGGCTTCGGCTTCGGACGCGGAACTCGACCTTCAACAGTTCTAACGTGGTACCTAGGTAGCTTTCGACAGGCCCGCGGATGTGCCGAAGCAGGACCGTACCTACGCAACCTGCATGCAGTACCCCTCAGTAATGATGCTCCGAAGGCTCCGTCCCGCGACATCGATCGTAAGTATCTCATTGTGATGCTCGTTATCGTTGTTGCCCCCCAAAGCGCGCAGCGGGCTCAGCTATCTCCCGATGACTTTGTATGCTGAAGGCATTGCACGTAATAGATTCTCACACTTTTTCAGTGCTTACCCTGCAATATGAATCACTCATCGCGTAGAGCGCCTCGAAGTGAAGACCCCGAAGAGTCAGAGGGGCTTTTGCCATCCACGGTTCCAAGCGGTGAAGCTCGCACCAAATCCGCCACGTCTCTCCCACTGCTTTGCTCATGCTTGAGGTACGCTGTGGTGGCTATCTTGTTCTTCGTCTTAGGCTTGATATCCAACAGTGGATACCTGCGCAATGAACAGGGCTCATCTGGTACGTGGTCTTCCTGTCGCTGAATACGTGACTAACACAGTATGATATAGAGCCATCGTTTTTGGAAGAGATCAATCGCAGCACTCACCCCAACCATACCAACGTTCCTGTCTTCGCAAGAAGTAACGGACCCATCTGGCAGCAACCGCCAAGTCCAGAAGTTGACGCAGCATGGCATGCGCTAACCTCCGGTTATCCATTTTTGATAACAGAGGACGACATGCGCATCCTTGGCAAAGATCCAGACCGCTATATCAGTGTCCCCCAAAGCTTCGGCTACGGCGAAAAGAAGTTCATCACCCGATTCGCGCATCCACATAACATTCACTGCCTCGATCACATCCGGAAGCGCCTTTACCGTGATTATTACGGATACCCAAAGTAAGTTGTAGCCGCGCAAATTGCATGTGAGATATACACTGACTCCGTATCTTCACATTTGTAGCGATACAATGGATTGGATCCATACCGAGCACTGTCTCCACGCCTTGGTGGATCATTTGACGTGCTACGTCCAGTACGATGTTCTCAACTACATGTGGGTCGAAGGAGAGCCAGCGGCGGAACCTGAGCTCACCTACAATCGTCAATGTCAAGATCTGGACGCGCTGCTACGCTGGAGCAAAGATAACCGTGTCGACAAAGATTTGCGAGTATACTATATTCAGCCGGCTGCGGGTGATAAGATCTTTCCCGCAGACGCAGAGTTCCGCAATATCGAAAACGAGTACGACCAGAACAACCCCGACCGACCGTCAATGGAGGATCGACGGAAGACTTACCAGAAAGCATACCAAGATGCGATAAGCTATTGGAAAACAACAGGAGAAGTGCCGATTGAGGAACGACCTTGGTAGTAGATGTTACTTCTATCACTTGAAGATACCGAAGCGCACAAGGGGATTTGGTTGCAAAGATATCGCTATCGGACGAGATTGGGATATGCACTGTTAGTATGGAGGCAGTGTTTCGTCACTTACACGGGTATGGGCACTGTATTCACACTCCCCTACTGTGTGGTATGATCTGTTCAGGCATCACCTCCAGTCAGCCATCAGGAATGCGAGTTTGAGGTGGGTGTGATCGCCAAATTCCGAATTATCAGCACTGGCGATATCTAGTCAGCGCTGATGTAGCATCCAGCTTGGCCCATTATTTCATTATCGTTATGAATGTATTACCTCTACTCTCTCTTTCAGTTGAATGGTATCGTGGGTGGACACAGTTTAGTACAAGCTCCGCGTATTGTATGCGGCGCAGGATATGCGGCGTGCGACGTGCGTCATGCGGACGACATCGGGTTCCGCCGATTCGACCGCGATATATCGTGCGCTGCGATCGCGCAAGCTGAAGAGTGTCTGCCCAAGCGAATTTGGGCGTGCGCGCATGGCGAAAGATTCGGACAAGGAGACAAGCCGCTCATCCATTGCTGTTGTTGCCTGGTGGGCCCGGCCAGTAGCGAGCGAGTTGCATGACGACTTGTATGCATCTACGGCCTTAACGTCGACGATGGCTATCTCCGGTCTGGCCCAACTTTTCGCCGACTACATGAAATGCGGCCGAGGGTGGGCGCGCATTGTTTTCCTCTTTCGCGAATACAATATAGCTCCTATTTAGGCCGCTTGAGTTAGTCTAGACGCGTGTATATATCCAATGTCTCGCCTGTCGCTTCCGTCTCGCATCATACGAAGGCTACTCAGTGAATCGCGACACTACCAGGTTTGGGGGAAACGTCAGCCCTTTTGGCAAAAACCACACTTTGCTCGGACGCTCAAGATGAGTTCAATAGGTGGTGCAAGTATTGGCGTAGGTCTTTACGCCGTGGTAAGCAATCCAGCACAGATTGCTGCGAAACCCGAGGAAGCCGATGAAAAGAGACATCACCTGAAGAACGGCAAGGGGTTTACGAACCCGTGGGATAGCTATATCGAGTCAAGTGCTTGGGAACTGCAAATCAAGGGTATGCTCTGGTAAGTCCGGCATACGGGAATTTTATGAAGACTTTACAAGGTGCGAACTAACACTCCGTGGTAGGCGCAAGATTACCGGTCAAGCCCACAATCCAGACACCTCGCCACCGACAGTACCAGTCCACAAACCAATGTTCCTTCCCTCCCGAGAGACACCACGACTTCGTGCAACATGGCTCGGTCACGCATGCTACTATATAGAGTTCCCGAGCGGCTTTCGTGTTCTCTTTGACCCTGTCTTTGAAGAATGCTGTGCACCGTTCACTATAAAGAGCCTTAAACGCTACACGCCCCCTCCGTGTGAGATTGAAGATCTACCAATTGTCGATGCAGTAGTTATAAGCCACAATCACTACGATCACTTAAGCTACCCAACAATCCAGCGCTTGAAAAAGAAATTCCCCGAGGCGCATTTCTTTGCGCCCCTAGGAAATAAAGAGTGGTTTGAGAAGAGCGGGGTTACGAAAGTCACAGAATTGGATTGGTGGGAGAGTAGAGATGTCAAGTTGGAGGAATTGTCGCAAAAGGGGGGTAGGGCTGGCTCTGTTTCTGTGAGTTCGGTGGACATGGGCAAGACTAGTGGTATTACAGCAACGATTGGTGCGCTGCCTTGTCAGCATATCAGTGCAAGGACGCCCTTCGATAAGGCCAAGACGCTTTGGGCAAGCTGGAGTGTGGAATCTGGCGGAGCGAAGGTCTACTTTGCTGGGTACGTCTGCTTTGTACCACACTCATGACTCATTCTTTATGCTGACCCTACCCAGTGACACAGGCTACCGCACGGTTCCGGCTAGCATTCCAACCACAGAAGACGACTACTCGGCTGCGTACTCGCACTTACCCACTTGCCCGGCTTTCTCACAGATCGGTCAACATCGCGGCCCCTTCGATCTCGGTCTTATCCCTATTGGCGCCTACGAACCTCGTTGGATGTACAGTAACGTGCATGCTAGCCCCAAAGATGCGGTCAACATCTTCGTGGACACGAAATGCAGGAGAGCGCTAGGCATGCATTGGGGTACTTGGGTGTTGACCGAGGAAGAGGTCATGGCACCGCCAAAGGAGCTGCAAGAGGCTTGTGAGTGGAAGGGGATCAAGGGAGGCAAAGAAGGTTTTGGGGTTTGCGACATCGGGGAGAGTACTGAGTTCGAGTCCGGACAGGCTACAAGAAACTAAATGTGAAAGCGGCCGACACGATCGAGTTGTGGAAAATCCAAGTGCGTAGTTTGAAGGACAAGGCGTTGGGTCAGCTGGGTACATGAGTATGCACGTAATGTATATATTTTTGACTTCACGACGTGCATTCTACACCTATATGTTATGATCCGTGTCCACTTTCATGCGTATAATTATCGCAGGGCTTTCCTTCAATATCTACTAAACCCTTGATGGGTTCTACTCAGAACCTCAAGTTTCCTGAGTTTTCTGCAAGATGACCTTGATCATTTCATTCCCTAACTTGGTCGCCTCCGGGAACCTCGGTTCGAAGTATCTCTGGATCTCCTCAAACTTCTCCCGGTAGCCATCAAAGTTACCCAGACTGACACGCGAGCTCCAGTCCCGGGCGGCAAAGGTGAACTCCAGGTCGTCGGCCCGGAACGTGTTGTCGTCGATGGCCGTGTCGATGGCTTCCTCGAGGAGCGTGGGGTTGCAGAAGAGGTACTCTGTAATGCCGAGCCACATGCGCGAGGGCTGAATGTGTGTTAGTGGATAAGAATTTGGAAGAGTAATGTAAAGAGGAAAGAAAACTGGGGACCTACAGGCGTCGAACAGATCATGTGGTCGTAGGGGACTATGCCTAGCTTCCACCAGCAGTCTACCATGGCGAGTAGACTGAGATGGTTGTTTTTGAGTTTCTTCTCTGGGATTGTGCCTAAAGCGAATCGGTCAAGCAAGTCATCTCGAAGGAGCAGCTTCTTGCCATCCTCGTTATCGCCAAACACAGCCTTGCGAGCGGTATGCACACGTTCACGGAGCTCGTCCCGCTGCCCTGCGAGCATGAGCTTGAACAGCTCGGTCACAGATTCGGCATACTGCTTAATCTGCTTCTTCGCGTCTGGGTTGAGGATCGCAAGACCTGCATAGACGTGCCACTTATTAGAGTAGATGCGGAGGGTAATGTTCATCTTGACGTTCTCAATACCACCGACGTAGCGCGAGCTGTCCCACGGGAATTGGTTGTTCGCGAACCATGCACCGCCCATGCTGAGGAAAGCGGCATGAGTAACAGCTTGTGTGTCCGCTGTAATGCGATCATGCTGCTCGGCGGAAAGATAGACGTGCTTGGACCCGAGGCAGGACATAACATTCTCCACGAACGCAAAGTCAGCATCCGAGGCGCGATACTTGATTAGCACCAGTGGCTGCCCTTTCGGGTCTATGCCTGGCCCGTGGAGGGAGTGCACGGAGACAATGCTGACGTCTTTAGGAAGGTGTTTGTCAAAAGCCTCCATCTCCGGGGCCTTGCATGAGGTCTGACCACCGACTATTGCGCCGACCTTTGTAGCTGAACGTAGGCTCGAGTCAGTAACAACACTGATCCGTGACAGGAGACGGCATACATGGGCCGAAGGTCTTAACGACCGCGTCGATGTTCTTCGCCTCGACGCTGTATATGATGAAGTCGCTGCAGCGAGACACAAGATGACCACTTTGCATGATCTCAACTCTGGGCTGGCGCAGTCTCAGCATGCGTTCGTTCATTGATATATAAAAGCGCTATCCTACAAAGTCCCGAAACTCTGCCACTAATGTATCAAACTTGTCTGGAAGATCGCAGGCGTGAACCCTTCAACGAGAGCATGTCAGCGCGTTCGACGGAGAGGAATCAATCTGTGAGCCACTGGTTAGCAAAGTTCGCGCCATAGTAATGAACAATGCGATGTAGTTGGTCGTAGTTCAGAGGTGTATAAAATAAGGTAGCGAGAATTCACATCATGGACGGCAACATGCCCAATTACTGCAAACCAAGACGGCAGCAGTGTGGACATGCGCCGTACTCGAGCCAAATGCACTCACGGTCATCATAACGGGGGAGGGGAGGATGAGAGAGTGAAGGACTTACCATTTGCAGAAGACACTGGAGCTCCGAAGCTATCAGTCGCGAGTGCACTCACTTCCAGCCAGCTGTGCTCAGCCGGCGGGCGTACATCTTGCCCATGTCGCCCATGCCGATAATACCGACGCTCTTGCGATCGTCCATGGCTGCTGTTGTGTCGCACGCTCTTGTGCGTGAGTGAGGTGGAGGAAGTCAGCCCATTGTAAAGCGATGGAGGAACTGCAGGTCGCTTGCGGCAGCCAAAGAAAAGTTAAGTAGGCGGCTTGGCGCGCTAAGCACGGCGTTTTGGTTACTCCGACACCCGCGAACAAGCGAAATTCCACCTCCCACCACCGAAAGTTCGACTCGATCGCCGTCAGTGCTACGAACCGCCAGTCACGTCAAGAAACCCATATTACCGCCAACATGCCTCCCAAGCAGAAGGTCGCCCGCGCTCCCCAGGAGAACATCCAGCTCGGACCCCAGGTCCGCGAGGTGCGTGACCAGCAGACATTGGAAATCGCGACGACACGGACTGACAGCAACGCAGGGTGAGCTTGTCTTCGGTGTCGCCCGTATCTTCGCTTCATTCAACGACACCTTCGTCCACATCACCGATCTTTCTGGCCGCGAAACCATCTCCCGTGTCACCGGTGTAAGTGCAGCCATACCGATTGCATGCGACAGCCACTGACCAGTACATAAGGGCATGAAGGTCAAGGCCGACCGTGACGAGAGCTCTCCCTACGCCGCCATGTTGGCAGCCCAGGACGTTGCTGCCCGCTGCAAGGGTAAGATGATTGGAATGGATAATCTGGAACGGGAACAGGAGCTAACATATGCAGAACTC